GCGTCTCGCGTGGTAAGAGGGCGCTGTTTACAATCGACTCGGAGACACAGATATGGAATGGATTTCTTAAGGACGTTGGCAGGTCACTAGCATTTCTGGTCCCCGGCCACCGTGCCCAGTGAGGGCGCTGCTGTCGCTGCAGCCGTTGCCATCGCTGGTATTGGTGGCGTAGTCTTGGGTGGAGCCAATCACGCAGATGGCGCCATGGTCAGCGCAGGCGCGGCAGGGCCTGAACCGCGCACTGACTGGCCGCCTCGGGCCGTCCGTGCGGGGGCAGCTCCGCACCAAGTTGTGAGAGAGCCGGGGGCGCAGCTCCGCACCTTAGCTGCAGCAGAGCGGGGGACGGCAGCTCCGCACCAGAGCCAGGGGCTCCAGCTCTGCACCAGAGCTGGGGAGCAGCAGCTCCGGATCATAGTTGCACCAGAGACGAGATACGGAGCTTCGCACCATAGCTGCACTAAGCGGGGGCCGCAGCTTCACAACAGAGCCGGGGGCGGCAGCTCCACACCGGAGCCGGGAGCGGCAGCTCCACACCGGAGCCGGGAGCGGCAGCTCCACACCAGAGCCGGGAGCGGCAGCTCCACACCAGAGCCGGGAGCGGCAGCTCCAACCAGAGCCGGGGACGGCAGCTCCACCACCAGACCCGGGAGCGGCAGCTCCACACCGAGGGAGCGGTAGCTCCACACCAGAGCCGAGAGCGGCAGCTCCACACCAGAGCCGGGAGCGGCAGCCCACACCAGAGCCGGGAGCGGCAGCTCCACACCAGACCCGGGGACGGCAGCTCCACACCAGACCCGGGAGCGGCAGCTCCACACCAGAGCCGGGGACGGCAGCTCACACCAGACCCGGGAGCGGCAGCTCCACACCGGAGCCGGGAGCGGCAGCTCCACAAACCGCTCCAGCCACAACCCGGCAACGGTCGCTTCGGGGCCCTGCAGGTTGTAGCGGCGCACGTGCGGGGCTCCTTTCCTCCGTCGCTACGGCTCGCTTCCCGCGCACGTTCAGACTCCGACCTCCGTAACCGTGCCGCTCACTTCGCGGCGCTGCTGAAATCATTTGCACCTACCGACGACTTGTAATGTCCGACTGCTACTGACAATGTTCCCGCTCAGTACATTGAAGAAACAGTCCCACCTGCAGCAAAACAGTCAATTACCCCATGTGTTGCCAGATAGGCGTACCCGAACTTCGATATGAAGACAGTTTTCAAGATATATTATGATGAACCAACACATTGAATTCGATAAAGCCAGTGTTGGGGCTTATTTCGTGTTCTAGAATCTGATCTGTTTTGTCATTATTTGCAATTTGACATGTTTTTGTCTTATAGGTGCAACTTACACTTCGCAAATAATCCGTCAACATTCACATGCGTGCGAGTCTAAGCCGATGCGGGGCGCTTGGGCAATGTGCCGCTCACATGCGTTCAGTGGTCCGCGCGTTGGTGAACACAGATATGAACAGGCACAACAAATCATCAGTGATCGGGACCCAGCAAAGCTGTCTCAACAATCCACGGTGGTATATTTCGTAGAAGAGAACAAGTTCATAAAACGACGTCATATTGGTGAGATTGAAAACACTGAGTCTTCAACCTTGCCGCACATCATGACACACAAATAAAGCAGGTCAGTGCGCATTCAGTGAGGTAGAGCATGGGCGTTCCTCAGTTGCATCCCCAGCAACGGTACTGTGTTGCCGCCCTCAGCCCTCCCGCTGCAAGACGGGTCCAATCCATGGCACGTGACCATTTCGAGCTTTTGGCGGTGCGCAACCCGCAACTGCAGCAATTTGGACAATCCTGTGAAAGAAACTATTCAAGTATTGACCTACCGCGGGCTGGAGCCACTGCCCGATTCCGCATGTCCTCCGCAAGGAAAATGAATCGCTAGCGATCCACTGCGACCTCGAACCAGGGCAAAGACTGAAGCGAAACGCAATCCACTATATTAACTTACCGCTGTTCAATCCTACGTGCCTCACAAGACCAAGAAGTCATCAATTCAATAACAAACTGTGCAAATACAGGATAAGGCGCAACAGTGAAGAACACTTGGTCATTCTCAGCCGGACGCCCGGCCACCGGCGGGCTGCGGTGCGAGGCAGGCCAGACGCAGCCCCGCGCCGCGCTGGAATTCGGCCCGGCAGGGGGCGCGGCGACCGCACGCCGCCGAAGATGGCACTGCGCTGGCGCGCGCAGGATTGTGCGGGAGGCGGCGGCGGCGGCCGGTACAAGCGCCTACTTGTGCTGTGTCACCAGCTCCAGCAGCCTGTCGGCGTTGGCGCCCGAGAAGCTGGTCACCTGCCGAAAAAGGACGTGGTCAGAGTGGCGGATCTGACGCGGCGGGACGGTCAGAGCGGCAAATATGGCGCAGCGGACGTAACGCTGGAGGGAAAGCGCAGAAGAGAGAGCGAGAGAGAGAGAGAGAGAGAGAGAGAGAGAGAGAGAGAGAGAGAGAGAGAGAGAGAGAGAGAGAGAGAGAGAGAGAGAGAGAGAGAGAGAGAGAGAGAGAGAGGAGAGAGAGAGAGAGAGAGAGAGAGAGAGAGAGAGAGAGAGAGAGAGAGAGAGAGAGAGAGAGAGAGAGAGAGAGAGAGAGCGGAGAGAGAGAGAGAGAGAGAGAAGAGAGGAGAGAGCGAGGAGAGAGAGAGAGAGAGAGAGAGAGAGGGACAGACAGACAGAGAGAGAGGGGACAGCCAGAGAGAGGGCAGACAGAGAGAGGACAGACAGAGACGAGACAGAGAGACAGAGAGAGACCCGACGACATGAGTTAAAAGTCGCGCCATTAGGCATGGGTCCGTCACCCGATGTTTACATTGGCACACACCAGTCATCGTTTTGACAACTTTTAGTTCTGTCATGACATGCCGGGTTTCCTAGGCGCAAATGGCCTTTGACACCAATGGCAACGGCAGGAAATTCCCATGATGGGCCACCAACTACAAAGGCGCATTTCAACATTGATGTACAAAGGAGGCAGTTTCGGCCTACCGGTCGACATGTGGTCTGTTGAAAGGGACATGGGCATCGCGCGTTTAAACCGAACCAATTACCGGGTCATGGCCCAGCCATTGTGCAAGGGCCCACACAACCCATTTGGAGCAGAGCGGCACCCACGGGCCGCATTGAAAGCACGCGCCATCGAGCGCTCCGATCGGCCGCTGGCACGGGACGGCGAGTCCGGCTGCCGTTCCCAGCCATAGCGACGCGCTCCAGGGGAGCGTCGCTTTATCGGCGCACTTCGCCCTATTGGACACGGCGCTGGATGCGTCGCGGCCCACGTTTGGTTCATCGACCGGCGTCGCCGCCCGAGCGGAGCGTTGGCCAGCTGACCCGCGCCAGCATCAACAGCACGGCCCGCAAAACCCCATAGCGGGCCCCTTCTGAGTCAAGGGCGGACAGTAGATTATCCAACTATTTGGGTCGTTGAGTATCGCAGCCGAGAGGGTACTGCCATCCAAATACGTCTCGCTTCCAGTTGCGAATTCGGCACCATGCCAGCATATGATAACAAGAGGTTACAGGCGCTACCCGTGCCAGGGTGACCGGACTATCAATCGTGTGAGTGGGGGTACACGTCTGTGGAGGTGAAGTGCTGATTGCCTCTCACACCCTGCTAATTGCCCAACTACATAAAAAACGTGAATGTCTAGTTAGGCGGGGCATGATGCTGCGTGTCGGCTGTGGCAGAGTACGTGCCTTCCCTCCCCTCCCCTCTCCCTCTCCCTCTCTCTCTCCCTCTCTCCCTCTCCCTCTCCCTCTCCCTCTCCCCCCTCTCCCTCCCCCCCCCGGCTGCGTCAGCGGTCGCGGCGTTTCCGGCCCGCCGGTCGCCCGAGATGCCGCGACCGGGCCGACCCGCCGCTCTCGGCGACGCACCTTCTCGCCCTGCTTGATGAAGATGAAGGTGGGCATGCAGTTGATCTCGTAGTCGGCAGCCAGGTCGTCCAGCTCCTCCACGTCCACCTTCAGGAACACCACGTCCGTGTGCTCCTTGGCCATCGCCTGCGGCAGGTCGGCGGCATGGTAAACACGGCGGTCGGAGCCAGCGGCCGCAGAGGCGCGTCATCGCCGCCGGGACTCGGCCGACGCAGAAGCGCAGGGGTCAGAGGCGCACACGAGACCGGGCTCGCTTCGCGTTCGCATTCACCCCCGCTACAAATACTGACGTCGTAGAAACACAGGCAGATGCCGCCACGTTTTTGAGTGATGCTGATCCTTGATGAAAAGGGTTATCTTAACCAGCAGGAAAGCAGCATTACTGCATGGGTCACGGCATCGTAGCAAGGATAGGGAAAAAGCACACCGGGCTCGCCTTCGGAAACGCCGGTGCATCGTCCGTGACTAGTGTATGTTGCATGACTGAAACCGCACGCTCACAACCGCACGCTAATGGGATTGCTCCCGTTCTCGACGACCGCAAGCGTCTTATGCTGTATCGCTCGGCGGTCGACGCGCTGAGCAGTACGCAGAGCGGGCTCTGTACTAGTCCCGCTACAAAACCGATGCAGTGTCGCCACGGCCTGACGCCTGCGTCACAAACGCCGGAAATCGCTCACGGGCATTGCCCCCCGCTTCAGATCGCCTAACGTCCGCGGGGCGCCTCACCCAGCAGCTCCGAGCCACCGAGCGCCGACCGAGCCGGCTCACGGGGGAGCTCGAGACAGCGCTCGTCTGCAATGTGGCGACCAGCTGCCCCCGGACATCCCACCGGCCGTGTGGCAGTTCGCGGCTAAATACATGCAACGCGTAACAGCTGCCATGTCGGTCCGTCCCCGAGAACAGCCGATCACGTGAAAGGAAAGCGAAGTCGGCCGTTTTCCTCCGCGCGGCCGACCGCGCACGCCAGGCATGCGAGGCGCGATCTGGACAAGGTCGCCACACACGCGTCCGCGTGACTCAGCCGGATGTTTGCACGCACCAGAGCCGGCCGCCAGCCTCCAACGGGCGGATGGGCGGACACAACATGCCACGCGTCATGGCTCCGTCAAGCGCCGGCTGGCTGGTGACCGGCCCGGCCGGCTCTGGTGTGCCGCCTCGGCGGCTGGCCCGGCGCACCGCCGGCGTCGCCGATCGCTCCAGGACATGGCGCCGGTGACGGCGGCAGGGCGGCCCAGCCGCAGCTGCTCCGCCGCTCACCAGCCGGCTGCCGCACCTGCGCCGCCGCCGGCTGTGGCGCCGGCGCGGCGACGCTGCAAGCGCGGCGGGACGGCGCCATACCGTGCTGGCACGGCGACGGGCGGACACCAGGCAGGAGGCCGGCACCGCACGCTCACGGTTGGGTGCTGACGGGATGTGAGGGACTCGCTGTCGGTACAACTTCGCTGGCAACGAAATCTAGGATAGACGAAGCTAAGTTGGAACTGGTACAGAAATGCAACGCGGGTCAGTGGTAGCATGCCATCGTTGGAGGCGGCTACGAGGAGAATGCAGTGAGATTGAAAAACTGCATACGAGTGGTGAAATTCAGGGCGCGTCGCTGATGGTCACAGTTATAAACATGCGACAAAAACAGCTCCAAAAACATACAGAAAAAGACGGGCAAGGAAATGACGAATAGGCAGGTAGTAAAATGAACGTGGGTGGGTAGGAGGAAACAAAATTAAGAAAGAGCAGACAACTGGAGGGCATGGGGACTCAGGCCAGCACGGCCAGCACCAAACGATGAAGACCGAGCAAGGCATTGCCAGCAAGCGAAAGATGCAATGGCGACGCACCAGTGCTCTCGGAGAGCACCAGAACACGAGCCACTGAGCGATGCCGCTCCACGCGGCAGCTTTTGCCGTCCCGCTCACAGCTGGCCGATCGTTTCGACAAGGTCAAGCGACGAGCGGGTGCGCTGTAATTACGGCTGCGCCTGGCCAGCGGAGCGGTTCGAACAGGTCTGCAGTCTGAGCGGCTCCAACAGGTATGTAGTCTGAGCGGCTCCAACAGGTCTGCAGTCTGAGCGGCTCGACCAGACCTGCGGTCTGACCGGCTCGAACAGGTCTGCAGTCTGAGCGGCTCGAACAGGCTTGCAGTCTGAGCGGCTCCAACAGGTCTGCAGTCTGAGCGGCTCCAACAGGTCTGCACTCTGAGCGGCTCGAACAGGCCTGCGGTCTGACCGGCTCGAACAGGTCTGCAGTCTGAGCGGCTCCAACAGGTCTGCAGTCCGACCGGCTCGACCAGACCTGCAGTCTTACCGGCTCGAACAGGCCTGCAGTCCGACCGGCTCGACCAGGCCTGCAGTCTGACCGGCTCGACGAACAGGTCTGCAGTCTGAGCGGCCCCAACAGATCTGCAGTCTGAGCGGCTCCAACAGGTCTGCAGTCTGACCGACTCGAACAGGTCTGCAGTCTGAGCGGCTCCAACAGGTCTGCAGTCAGACCGGCTCGACCAGACCTGCAGTCTGACCGGCTCGAACAGGTCTGCAGTCCGACCGGCTCAACCAGACCTGCAGTCTGACCGGCTCGAACAGGTCTGCAGTCCGACCGGCTCAACCAGGCCTGCAGTCTGACCGGCTCGAACAGGCCTGCAGTCTGACCGGCTCGAACAGGTCTGCAGTCTGAGCGGCTCCAACAGGTCTGCAGTCCGACCGGCTCGACCAGACCTGCAGTCTTACTGGCTCGAGCAGGCCTGCAGTCCGACCGGCTCGACCAGGCCTGCAGTCTGACAGGCTCGAACAGGCCTGCAGTCCGACCGGCTCGACCAGGCCTGCAGTCTGAGCGCGTCGAACAAGTCTGAGCGCTTGCGTTCCGATGACCCCACGCCCTGGCTAGAGGCGCAAGCAGCCGCTGTTAGCTCCGTTCAGCATACAGGCGTTCCGGTGCAGAGGTGCCACAGCCCGCCGTAACAAGTGGTGACTCGGACCGCGCTGTACAGGCACAGGCGCGAGCGCGTCCGACGCCGGGGGTGACGTCACTCTGCCGTCACGTGACAGGGCGTGACGTCTGCTGCGGGCAGCACGAGGAGTACCAGCTGTAGCCATGCCTTACAGTGGCGCTCATATGACGTCATATGCCGGCAAGTGCGTACTGGCGGATCGTCCATCGTTACACATGTATGCGTGCGCGGTAACATTACGCGTGTATGTGAGCAATGATGATGTGCAAGCAAACAGTTGGCGGGCGTCCTAACAGCACCTGTGAACTGCACAGGAAACCGACTGACGAGCCTCAGCCATGACGACCTTGCAGCCTCAGGGTCATCGGTGTGAGTCATACTCGGTTTGGAAGGTTGCCAAGAACCTGCCAGTCGAGGCTCCCAATTCTCTATCAAAGTTCTGGACCTGGGTGAAATCCTCAATCAGTGTCACAGACAGTACATCGATGACAAAGTGCGCCCGGGGCTTAACATTTACTTCAACACAATCCCTTACAGCTTCCGGGAACAGCGCCCGCTTGCGGTTCTCGGAGCAGCCATGGACGTCGCATAGCAACTGACAGGTCGTCTGGGTGGATTCTTTTCCTCGCCTCGCGGGCACTGGGGCGTTGGACGAAACCACGCCGAAGAAGTGGGTTCATACCAACACTGCTGCCATGCCTCGACAGGCAAAACGCCTTCAAATTCGCTATATCCCAGAACGGTCATCGGCAAAAATACGGGAAGGGGAAAAGCCGCATTGGTCGATCGGGTTAATTTCCCACCTTCCTTCGATATTGTCATGAGAAGTCAGGCAAACCAGCCGTTGAGCGTCACACAAAGGTAACTTCTGGAACACTTTCACGAGCGTCTGCTGCAGCGCGTCCGTTTGTTATCGCAGACGGCAGTCAGCCGCGGTCGGCAGGCCACCGGATCACCCCCGGGCGTCGCTCCCTGTCCCCCCCCCCCCCCCCTCCCGAACAGCGCAGCGGGCTCGCGTCGCCCACGCCTCCCGGGGCGCCGAACCGCTGAGTCAGCGTGACGTCACGACCCGGACAAACCCGCGGCCGGGCGAAAATTGGGTCGGTGTGATCACGACGGCGACCGAGAAACACAGAACCCTCCCCGACGCCCTGACCCCGGCCCCTCCCAGGCACATGCACGCCGTGCCGGCGCGGCTCCCTTCTAGAACAGCGGCGATCGGACCGACCGGCGACAGAGCGCGCGCACCCATGGCCAGGCTCCAAAGCCTGACACAACGCGGACACAAACTGAGGCGAGGTTTGCGGACAGATGGAAGCCGCTTGGACACTAAACTGTCATAAAGGCCTCGGCGCAGACATTGCGACTTCAACTGCAGAGGATTAACAGTCATGCACCCCGTGCACGAATGTTTTCAGTGACAGACTTCGACCACGACGAATCCGAAACAGGAACATATGCGCAGCCACTCACAACGGGGTGGGTGAGGGGGAGGGGTGCAGCTTCAAAGTTCCCACTAAAGACCCATTTTGCCACAGGCGCGCAAATCGTCCACTACAAACTCAGTTCGCGGCAGACGCGCAAAGTTTCTTGCTTGGCGTGCAACAATATCGCAGGTTTCGATCTGTGTAGCTTTGCGTGTCTGCGTTCCATTTTTTATCGTGAAGTTTGCGCGTACATTAGTACATATCATGACTTCCATCACGGGAGCACGTAGCCTCCAGGGCCACTACATGAGTACGCCTCCGATTCGAAACAAGGTAGCTGAAGAACGTCTGTTCCATTCACCTATACGCTGTGAAACGCGTCCAGCCCCGACAACCACGCTCGTGGCCAAACGTGCATAGCCCACAGCTCCAGCTCCACGTCCCCCAGCCGCTCAGTAAGCAGGCTTGAACGCTCTTTGCTCAAGCCTCAGGCTCAGGCCTCACCCGGAGTTTCTAGCAACACGCGACGCGTGCGGCGCGGGCGGCGGAAACTGCGCCAGTTGCGTGCCCAGTTCCGCTAGCGAGTCATTTTGCAGCGTATGCAGTGTCAATTGAGCTGCTTCGTCATTCACGCAAGGCCATCTTCGGAGTACAATGTACGTGCACACGCCCGTCAGAAGTGTATAAACTCTCAAGTGCAGACGCAGGGCTGACCGAGCGCTCGACGTCAAGTGTTTAGCTGTTTCAATCGATAAA